ACGGCCACCACGTCTGGTGCGACACCGAAGCCGGGGACGGCAATGAGGAGGCGGAGTTGGGGGCCGGGCTTGAGGACATGTACCCGAACGTCGCAACCTCGGACCACGATGATGAACTCGGCCACGCGCGCTGTCGCGCTGACCCGCCGCTGCGACACCGCCGAGACACCGTCGGGACACCGCGCAGTCCTCGAGCCACCGCCGCCCAAACACAGCGGGGCACCACGAGAAGCCATCGACGCGAGAGTGACATCACCCAAACACAATCAGGGAGCTACGCGGGATACTGAAAAACCTTCTTTGCCGCGCTAGGCGCGGTGGCGGAACTGGCGAAGGGCGCCGTTGGAGGAGAGCGACGACGAGGGATACTACTCGGACGACAGCCTCGACTCGATTGTGGACGTCTGGAGGAAGGCGCCGCGGCTGTGCCAGATCTGCGGCGCTGAGGACCACGACGCCTACAACTGCACCACGCTGATGTTCGGCTATGCAAAGCCAGAGGAGACGTGCGAGCACGACGATGCAGCGTCGGACGACAGCTGCGACTCGATGGCGGGCGTCTGGAGGAAGGCGCCGTGGCTGCGCCAGCTCTGCGGTGATAAGAACCCCGTCGCCTGGCGCTGCACCAGGACCCTGGAGCTGGCAGGGCGTCTTGCCAGGACGCCCGCCTACCGAGCGGAGGAGAACAAGAAGCACGCGGAGGAGAACAATAATAGGAACGTGAAGCGGGGCGGCGCCTGAGCCACCGTAGCGCGGCGCCTCTAATTCGAGTGGCTCGAGCCTGTAGCTTGATCGAGGGATGGATTCGATGGGGCAGCGAGGGGGAGGAGGAGGAGGAGGAGGAGGAGGAGGAGGAGGAGGAGGAGGAGGAGGAGGAGTGGAATAAAGCGGAATAAGGGGGATGAGGATGAATATCTACATTCTCGACTGCCCGGCACAGACTGCGCGCTCGCTGCCTGCGTGCTTGTTCGCAGCCTCTGTCGAGTGCTGGGGGGCTGTCCAACCCGCGCCTCCTCCTCTTTCTTCCTCCTCCTTCTCCTCCTCCTCCTCCTCCTTCTCACCCTTCGGAATTTACACGTCGTATGAGTCTGGAAATTTCCAGGGGCAGTTTTTCGTTTTCGTTTACTTTTTGTTTATTTGTAGAACAATGTACAGTCTGTAATACTATCAGCGCCCAATGTGCGAGAGGTCGACGTGTCGATCGTGAAAACATCGTTGGCAATAAGCGTTATTGTCATATCGTCACGTCGTCTCATCGATCGCTATCGTCACGCCAATCACTGTCACATCGATTGCCATCGCTCGTCTCGTCAATGACATCTATCGCCATCGTCGGGTGAATCGAATCATTGATCGCCATCGTCTCGTATATCTATCGCTATCGCCGCCGCCGGAATCGACGATTCGGTAATCGGAGGGGTTCCCAGGCGGCGCGGCGCTGGATGTCCTCGCCATACCGACGCTTGGCGCAGCGGGAGGGCGGCTTCCTCCTCCTCCTCCCCCCCCCCCCCCCCCTCCTCCACCTCCTCCTCCTCCTCCTCTCCTCCTCCTCCTCCTCCGACCTCCTCCTTCCGAGGCTTCCAGCCACCCCAGTCTCATTCCTCCCCCCCCTCCTCCAGCCCCACTTCCACCTCCCACTCCCCCCCCTTTCCTCTCCCCTCCTTCTCCCCCTCCTGCTCCTCCTCCTTTCGCGGTCGCTGGCTGGCCCTTCGGAGCCCCCAGATGGCCTATGGTCCGGGCGCATGCCAGGCCTAGGGGGGGCGCAGCTCGCACCCCCCAGTTAGCGGGCATGGGGCCCTCCATGCCAGGTAGGTGGCCCCCTGCAGGGTTCCTGCAACCCCTGGTTAGGTCGGGTTCCCCCCCTGATGCCGGGCCTATCGCTGTTTGCGGGGAGGCCGCAGGCCAGGCATTGATGGGTCGATGCTAGGGAACAGGGGGGGGCAGCTTGCACCCCCCGACAGGCCTGGCATGCGCCCCCAAGTGGGTGGATGGGAGCATGATGGGGCACGGCAGGCGTTGAACGCTCAATGCCCGGTGTTCTCTTCGAACCGCCGGGGGTTCTCCTCGAACTGCCGGGTGTTCTCCTCGAGCCGCCGGGTGTTCTCCTCGAACCGCCGGGTGTTCTCCTTGAGCCGCCGGGGGTTCTCCTCGAGATGCCGGGCGTTCGCCGCGAGATGCCGGGCGTTCGTTGCGAGATGCCGGGCGTTCGCAGTGGGCGCTTTCCGTGCCCAGGGGGGCGTTTCTGGAGCGTTCATATTGGGCGTTCTTGGACCTTTTTGGTGCCCTCTTGGGACCTCAGGGCGCCCTTGGTGCCTTCTTGGTGCTTTCTTGGTGTTTTCTTGGTCCTTCTTGGTGCCTTCGTGGGCCTTCTTGGCTAGTCGAGTCCGTAGCGCTAGAGCTCATGCCAGACCTGCGTGCCTGCTGCGCAGTCGCCGCCACATTTAGGCCAACGACGGGGCGCTCGCTCCTGGTGGGCAAGGCGGCCGCGGTGGCGCGGAAGGAATCGCAGCAGCGCAAGCGCAGCAGGAGCCCCAAGCAGCAGCAGCAGATGCAGGAGCAGATGCAGCAGCCAACCGATGCAGGCGCAGTCGCTGACGATGCAGCAGATGCAGCAGCATAGTTACGGTGCGATGAGTGCTGGTGCAATCGCTGACGAGATTAAGGGGTCCAGCACGATGGTGTGGACAGATCGCGCGAAGATACCTGGGCCGCTGCAGCACGTGTTCCGCGAGTTGCAAAAGCAACACATCGGTCCTCAGCCGGGTGCCGTGTACTATACCGCGCGGTTCTCAGTAGTGGTTCGTAGGGCAGCGTATACGAGCGGCACGCGGCATGTCTGATGTGTTGCACGATTGTGTTCGCCACCATGGGCTATCACATAATGGAGCCATGTAGGAAAGACTTGCCACATGGTGGCACGACGGGCGCCGATGCGCAGATATATACTGGTGGTCCGTTATAGATCCCAGCGCCTGTTGACGCACATGCGCCACCACGCAAAACGCTGCTGCTGTCCTCCTCGCATCCCCCTCCTGTTTTTCATCATCTCTCCTCCTCCACCTTCTCCTCCTCCTTTGCTCTGATGCCCACGCGGGAACCCACGATGATAGGTATTCAGCAGTGTGTGAACTGAATGGCCAAGTTAAACCATCGCGAACGCGTGGAACTACGATTGTTGTAACATAACTTGGGTCGTGATGTTCATGGGGCTTTGTAAAGTAGAGCGCGCCTGTTGTGTGGCATCGTCATCTCCTTCCCTCCTAGGATGGAACCCGACCGTGAAGACATGCGCGTGCTTGTGAGACCTCTAGCTGCCCTCTATAGGCTCTTGTCTTGCCGTGGCCCATAACATAGCCCGCAATGATGAGCTGCATTGCATTGCATCGGGTATCACAACAGAACGTATTGCACCGCTTTCAATTGCATCGCTTTGTGTAGCATACCATGGCATAGCATTGCCTTGCATTGCATATTGCTGTCCTGCGTCGCATATCATGGCATATCATGGCATATCCGTGAGTGCGCGTCGCGTTTTGGCTCAATGTTGGCATCGCTCCTGAGTTCACTTCCAGGTGTCTCCAGTGTTCAAATGGCTGGGGCAGGATGGCACATTCTCAACCGATGTCCTCCACTTCTCGACCTGCGGGATCACGCGGTTTCAATGCAGGAATGTGTGGCTGCTGGGTCGTCCAGGCTTCCAGCAGCATTTCATGTTAAGCCAGATTCGTTGCACCCTGTGGAGGTCCTCATGGCTCGAACCGTTGCTGACAATGTGCTGCAACTGGACCACAACACTGCTACCAATGGGGACTCTGGTCCGGACGCCATTCTGCGGAACATCGAGCGCCTTCAAGTCACTGGCCAAAGAGGACAGCAAGTCTTGCAGCGCTTGAAGGCACACGGCCGGGAGTCAGCGCTGCTGATGCTTCGCCGCCTTCTGTTGTTGATATGAATCACACACAACCAATACGTTGAGGTCGTGCCTGCTGTTTCTGTTTTGGCCTGGGTGCAAATGGAGGGATGCGCGTCCATGGACGAGTACGCGGCATCAATGCGCACTCTGCGGACGTGGATTGATACGCCGATGGCGGTCGCCGCGTCTGGTGCTCAGTGCCTAATCTCGCTCATGGATCGATCGAGATCTCGCCCATGGATCGCTCATGTATTAGATCTCGCATGGTTAACTCATCTGGAACGCCACTCCAGATAGATGCCCGAACAATCCAGCCCATCAAGATAATTATACATCGGACGGCAGTTCCGCGTTCAATGTTTTATTGAGCCAGCTTCGGACTCCTCCTCCTCCTTCTCCTCCTCCTTCTCCTCCCCCCCCGCCCCCCCCCATCCTCCTTCCCCCCCCCCCCCCTCCTCCTCCGCCCCAACAGGAAGTGGGGGGGGGGGGTGGGGGGGGATGGGGGATATGCGAACATGCGACAGGTTCGAATAATAAAGAGCAAGCGAGCTATGTCATATAAGTGGACCCCGCGACGACGACAGTGGACGAGGACGCCGCGACGACGACACTAGACACGGACGCCGCGACGACGACGCCAATGCAACGAGCGACACGGACGCCTCCAGACGCAAGAGCTTCCATGTGGCCCCCAAGACGCTCGCTACGGAGGAGCCCCCATATTATCAAATCCGCCGGCCTGGTCGGCGCGTGAGAGGGGCCCTTCGGCGCGGGGCCAGCCCGACCCAAACGGGGCACATCCATCTTCCGTTGAATCGACGTCTCCTCCCCCTCCTCCTCGTCCTCCTCTTGCTCCTCCCTATCCTTCTTCGCCTGTTTATTTGCGTGCGACATCTAAGATGCAGTCTTGCAATTTCACCATCATAATCGCGTCTGTTGAGCGGGTGGCTTTGGTTTGTCATTATCCGTAGTTCCTGTTGTGGCTCGAACGCGTTCGTGGGCGGCCCGTGATGCAGTAGTGCACCCTGTTAGCGAGATGCCAATAATGATTGCGTCTCCGCGCGATGGCTCGCACCGGGGGCGCGAGGTGATCGCGCCGGCGCGGGGCGAAAGCCCCAGCGCCGACTCAGACGGGAAATGCAAGATGCAAGTGCGCTTGCCACAGTGGCACGCGCGGCTCACCATCGACGCGCAGCAAACGGAGACAACCAGCTTCACGAAGGCCGCGGCAGCCGCCACAACGTTTGAGAAGCATGTCGATGTGGTGTTGGTTCGCAGGGAGCTCGAAGAGAGAGAGTTTCTTTGTTTCGTGACAAGGGCGACTTGTACATCTACAAGTGCACGGCGGAGGCGCCGCGGGGCTTGCGGCTCAGCGACGCGGACCAGGCATGCTTCCTCACGTGGCTCATCGCGTTCACGAGTGATTATCCACGTCCAGACGAGATCATGGCGTCGCCTCCGAAGACGTTCGAGTGGGTGTACATTGCGCCGTCTGACAAAGGTAACCTGATCAGGGTGCTGGTCTACATCGAGGCGTCGGAGATATGGGGCGAGGCGTTCCCCCCAGATTACGAGGCGCTTGCTGGCCAGAAGATGCGTGCGACAATCGGCGACCTGAAGGGTATCGTATGCGCGAGGTTCAAGGGCATGGTCGTGAATGATTTCGACCTCCTTGCAAGTCCTGGCGAGGTGGATGTGCGCTACTGTCACGGCAGCGACGAGCTGAAGCTGTTGAGCGACTTGCGCGATGGGGTCAACTGAGCAAACCCGGAGGTGCACTTTGACAGGTGGTGCACATCCAGAGCCCAGAGGTGGCGCGCATCTCGCTGCAGCGCATCACGAGCAAATGAGCCGCCACTTCGCGCGCATCCAGAGGTGCGCGTCCAATCGCATTTCGTCGCACCGCATCGCGAGTGCGACGCGCCTGCGCGTTGCAAGCAGCTTGCAGGCTATGCATCAGAGACGCGAGTCCTGCGCGCATCTGGAGTGAGCAGGACATGAAAAATAGCAGGGCAGAGCTTCCATGGGAAATCTCAAGCCCTCAGAGCCCTTCCAGCGGGGCCTCTCGGACCTCTTGGGTATCCTGGAAGAGTGGGCTCGTGGGGATGGGCTCGCCTCCCACGAGTTGCCTGCGATGGTGGTCGATTCCTCCTCCTCCTCCTCCTCCTCCTCCTCCTCCTCCTCCTCCTCCTCCTCCTCCTCCTCCTCCTCCTCCCCCTCCTCCTCCTCATCCTCCCCCTCCTCCTACTCCCCCCCCAGCCTGCTCTTCCTCGTCCTCCAGAGCCATCCCATGCGCGCGGGCCCCGCATCCTCGGAAGTACTCCCCCATAGGATCACCTTCCCTTGGGGCCCTCGAGGGCCCCCAATCTGTGTAAACTGACTGCGTGGGCCTCGCGGATCACCCGCGGGGGCCCCCCGGGCTGTTGGGGGAGGTGGATGCGGCCCCAAGGTCTCTGAGTCACTCTCTGTGCGTCTGGAGGGAGAGCGTTCCCCGATCCCTCCGATCCCCGCCCCTCCGGCCCCGCTGCTCCGTCCGATCCCCCCCATCCCTCCACCGCGTCCCTCCGATCCTCCTCGCCGCCGATTTCGGCCGCCGATGTGGCTTCGATTTTCGATTTGTGATGCGATCCTGCAGAGTCCGTTCGGCCAGCGGTAAGGTCTGGCGCCTTCGAGATCCAGTTCGCGCGCTGGGTGGGGCGCGGTGAACCCGAGTTGATCATAGCTCCGCAGTTGGCCGCTACCAGTCAGAACCTGCCCATGCCATTTCTTGCCAATTGTGCGAATGTCCATTACTATGCTTGTGGGCCTCTGTCAGAATTGTCCAGCGACTTGGCGCATGCTCAAGATATGACTGGTGATGCTACGTCACAGTCCTGTGGAAGAGTTCCAGAATCTGGCCATCATGTTGTCGCGATGCCCAGCGAGGATCAGTGCGTGCGTTGTGATGGCGACGCAGTCAAGGAACAAGAAGAAGACACAACGGTTTCGCAGACCCTCGACTTGTGTCGGCGTCTGCAAGTTGGGGATAGCTTTGACCGCCCAAATGAAGAGATGGCGCAAGCAGTCGCCGGGCTGAACGGCAACGTCGTCGCGAGCATGGTCCAGAACACGTTTCGAGTCATGCAGAGGCGCGACGCTTACACATTATAACAGTTGGAAGAAATAGAACGGCAGGCAGGTATAGATCGCGAACATGTGCACCATGTTGCGAGAAAGGCTCTGGCATCGGGGAACTTGGTTTCTGGGCGATATAATGCGCGCGTCAAGTCTCGCAAGGACGCCAGCAAACTCTGCTTGGACACAGTGGTTTCTGATATCAGCAAGCCGCGTTGGAAGAGAGAAAAGTCACGCGTGCGCCTGGGCGTATTCCGACAACATCCGGACGCAGTGCTGCAATGGCGACAGCTTTGGTGCAGTCCCCCCAAACAAGACAGGGCACACCGACTGGCCGCTGAATACGCACAGGCGCTTGAGAACCACAAGGCGCGTCGCATGGGTGACCCGACGCAGTTTCAAATGCAGTGCCGCATTGTCGGCAGCAGTGCGTGTCGAGACGCGTTCGTTGCTCTGACTGGCATATTCGCGCGCGCGCGCGTTGCAAGATGCCCGCGACGTCGCAATTGGCGCCAAGCTGCCTGCGCTGCCTGAAGGGTTAGGCCCATGGGTCTCCTCGCGCCCACTGACGCACATGAACGCGCGAGCATGGCTACTTGTTTATACAAAGACCCACGCAGATACGTCGCCCATGAATGTGACAGTTTGTGGTTGCCTTCTGGCCCGAAGCAAAATTATTGCGCTGTGTATTTAAATGACAGGCACGCGAAGAACGTGGACCCTGCGTACATCTCTTCGGAGAAGTATTTTCTGAAAGTCTGGCGCCGAGAGCTGCCGTGGTTGCAGTTGCGGGCAGCATCGGGGCCGTTTACACATTGCGGCTTCTGCGATTTTCTCCATGTGCTTAATGCAGAGGCGCAGGACCAATACGTGAAGAACGCGCTGCTGCGAAAACCTGGACAGCACTATGAGTTCCAAGCTGCGCAGAGGATGGCCATGAACCAACTATTTGCAGAACGCGAGCGCCACCCAGACGAATTAGTGGCAGTTGGCTGGGGCAAGAATGGATCAGGCTAAAGCCGTTCCCCCGCGGGTGAAGGCGCTGGCCAGCACGCAATTCCAGAGGGGCGGGGCCAGATTGATCGCGCATCTTATCGGCATGCTTTGCCTTGCGCTGCGGGGCAACCCTGTCTTCTACGCGGCGTTTGAGAACCAGGTCAAGGATGGAGATATGATTTGTTCTCTGGTGGGCGCGCTGGTTGAAGCCGCATCGAAATTGGGTTTCCTGCCCCGCCGGCTGGTCGTACAGGCTGACAACGCAGTGACAGAGACCAAAAACACTATAACGCTGGCGGCAGCTGTTTGGTTATTGGCGCAACTGCAGCATACTCGATTGCAGGCCGTTGAAGTTTGCGACCTTCTTGTAGGGCACGCTCGTGATTTGATCGACGCCACGTTCGCATTTGTCAGTCGAGCTCTCCATGCAAAGGACGCGCTATCTCTCCCAGACATGTTCAACCAACTCAACCAGATAATGAAACGGCCACCCCTCTGGAAACATTTGCGCGATGCGCGGGGGGTTAAAGATTCTCGGCCGCCGGCTCTGGCGGCAGATAGTGTCAAAGGTATCGCATTGCCGCGCCACCTGAGGGTATTTCGAAGTAGCGATGGTGATCTGCGCGCGCAGGCTAAGCGGTGGCCCACAACAAGCGATTGGTGCATGCCTATCGTGGTCTGTAGCATGAATGACGTTGCCACCATCCGAGAATGGCGGCCACCGCCCCTGGCCCCAACCTGGCCAGAGAAGTTTGTGAACGGGCACCTGGCGTGGCTGAATAAACTCCAAGCGCTCTTGGAGCAGTCTGGTCGTGATTGCAACAATCACTTAGACTACATGCGGAGGCTCGTCAACGATGAGTTGCCTGAGTACTTGCCGTCTGACCAGACCCTCGAGGCGAAGACAAGCCGAGTGCGCATGAGCGCAAACCGCACGGGCCATGCCGCGCTGCCGCAGAAGGACGTTGACACTGACGCGCTGGATAAGGCTATCGCTGCGGCCTTTCCTGGCTCATCCGCAGGTGTTTGGCTGTTGTTGAAATTCCCGCTGGCGCTTGCACTAGGATGGGGCCCTCGCAGAAGTTGTGGAAGATCCGAGGAGCGAGTTTAAGGCCATTGCGATGGCTAGAACAACGGGTTGGGTTTTCTGTAGGCTCGCACTGCGAGCTAAACAAAATCATCCTCCTCCTTGCCCCCCGCGCCCCCATCCCACCCCCTTTCTCGTCGCCCCATATGCCCCTGCTTCCTCTTACCTCAGGTCAACCTCCCCCAGTCTCTGTTTTTTTTTTGAATGCCCCCCGCATATGCCTAACCGCGATCGCCTGGACTGCGGGAACGCGCGCAGCGCAACGCGCAGCATGAAATATACTCCGTCGAGCCCCACAAGGGGGTGGATGCGGGCAGGGTGGGCGGTGCTTCTTTACAAATACTGCCGAACACATGAGAGGAACGAGGTAGCATGGAGGGATAACGAGTCAGGGGGAGCAAGAAGGGATGAGGAGGAATACGATGAGGAGTGGACGACGAGGAAGAAGACGACGAGGAAAAGGGTGATGACGAAGAGGGGGAAGAGCATCGGATGAGGGACATGATGGAAATAATGGCTTGGGCGAGCAGACGGGCCAGCCCATGCATGCGTCTCAGAGTCTCTGTGCCTGTCTCCTGGAGGCTTGTCTTGGAGGCCTCTGGGGGCGTCTGTGAGACTGGGGCTCTCTTCAGGCCATCCTAAGGGGCTTTTGGGCCCGCGTTGGGCCATCTTGCATGTGCACTCGGAAGAGAAGGGAAGGGGGCTGGGCTCTGGGGGACGGGGTAGGCTCCGGGCTCCGGTCTGAGAGCCGGCTGTTGTTGGTGGCGGTTTTAGATCCATGGAGGCCTGGCTGGCCCATTGGGCTTGTCGCGGGTCATCGGACACAATGATCGTAGCGCTTACCTGCCTGAACATGTGAGTGCTTGTGGCCTCTTGGGTGCCCCCTTGGACGAACTCCGTCGGCCAGTTCATGCCGTCCTGGAGTTGTCTTGGGGCCTATTGGCGCATGTTCGAAGACTTACGCCATCTAGACGTGTCTGATCACGTGGGGCTCTCTGAATCTTCAGCTAGCGTCAATACCCCCCCCTCCCCAGAAGGATGCAAGGGAGAATGCTTGCTCTTGTCTCTTCGTGGTGAGGTGGGTCTGGGCCGTTGCAGCTGCTGCAAGTTGCGAAGGAGAAGACCACGGTGATTGGGTACTGCCTGGACCCGCTCGAGTGCGACGCTTTCGTCCTGTACAAAAGCACTGGTAGGTTTCGTGAGCAGTGCCCGATGCGAATTGGCAAGGTTGTGCGTCTGAACCACGAGCTCGAAGAACAGAGCGTGGTCGTCGAGTCATTTTGGCCTCTGTTGAAGCCTGCTAAGTTCGGAGAGCGCATTCATATGTTCGGCACATGGTTGCGATGCTCTATGCCAAAGTCGTACGCAGCGCCACCGAGCAAGAAAGCTGCAATGCAATGGTCCGCTTCGCCCTGCGTCATGGTTAACATGAGCGATGTTTTGGCTCGGCCTATCAATGTGGAGCATGGCTCCTCGGATGTCGCTGATGGGGTGCGGATTCCGTTCAGTGCGTTCGATTATGTGATGGTGAATCGCGGCGTGCACGCCGCTTTACCAGAGTCCACATTCTCGGACCGTGGCAATGACTATTTTCAGAGCGTGATGTGGCGCCATCACGAACAGATGCAGCCTTGACCAAAACAGAGAGGGCCCGGGTGGATGATGATGATGATGAGGAGGAGGAGGAGGAGGAGGAGGAGGAGGAGGATGAGGGGAAGAGGAGGAAAATGATGACAATGACAACGCCCGAAGACCCCTTGGATGCCAATCCAGGCCCCTTCATGTACAGGATGCGTTGTGGGCCCTCGAAGTACTAGGGCCGCGATGCCTTCTTGGAGGGAGGCAGTTTTCCTTGGGGGGGGCATCTGCATGCCCCTACCACCTCTCAGACAGCCAGATGAGGATGAGGATGAAGAGGAGGAGGAACAGGAGAAACAGGAGAATCAGGAGCAGTCGGCGCTGCGATGGTGGCGGTTAACCACCTGCGATCCTTCGCCTCCACCTCTTCCTCCTCCTCCTCCTCCTCCTCCTCGCCTCTTCCTGCTCCTCCTACGTCCTTATCATCCTCGTCCTCCCCCTTCTCATTCTCTAATTCATTCGCCCCCCTCCTCCTCCTCCTCCTCCTCCTCCTCCTCCTCCTCCTCCTCCTCCTCCTCCTCCCCTCCTCTCCTCCTCCTCCTCCTCCTCCTCCTCCTCCTCCTCTTCCTCCCACTCATCCTCGTCCCCATTCTCATCCTCAAAACCGTCATCGCTCCCTCTTTCGTGGGCTCCTGGGAGGCCCAGCGGAGCCTGACGCTCCTCGGCAGGAGGAGGAGGTTGATGGCACTTGGGGCACGAACACACAACACGCACGCATCCGCATCATTTACCCCTTCCTCTCCCCCCATCCGCTGCTCTGCTACTGCTACTGCTACTGCGCGGGTACTGCTGCTGCTACTGCGACTGCTACTGCTACTGCTACTGCCATTGCAACAGCCACTGGTACTGCTACTTGAGGAGGAATAGGACGAGGTGGAGGAGCTGGAGGAACAGGCGGAGTCTGAAGCGCGCGTGGGGTCTGAACAGGCAAATCCTTTCTTTCTCATATATATATATATATATATATATACATACACATGTGTGTATATATATATATATATATAGGTTCATAGGCCCAGGTGCTTCGGACATCGGGGCGCGTCTTGAAGTACTCCTAGAGCAATTTTGGGGCCATCGTCGAACCACACTGTGTCCCCCTGCGGGATCCCCTCCCCGCACCCTTCCCCGCCCCCGCCCCCAGTTCTCCCCCTCGCCTGTCACTCCTCCCTGGGGAGAGGGGAGGAGAATGATGATGAGGACAGGGCGAAGGCAGAACGAGCAGGATGAGGAGAAATCGGAGGAAGAAGGAAGGCGACACAAAATGAGGGGAGAGTGCAGGAGAAGGAAACAGGAGGGAAAGGAGAGGAAGCCTGGAACCCCTTCCGATATGGGGGCTCGTCGTCATCGCTCATGTCGAATAACCTCCAGTGTTTCCAAGTGCATCATCTTATATCATAGCTGTTTCAGCTACTCGGAACCATTACTAGTTTGGCACTGCTTTGTGCTAGTGGCCATTCCTCCCACCTTTTCCTCATGATCGTCTCTCACACGGGGGACCCGCTGGCATGCCGGAGGTAGATAAGTTAGTAGTGCAGGCAACTTGTGCGGACACTTCGGAGGAAGCAATAGGGACCAATGGCGGCGGCTGCGAATGGTGGACGGATTATGCTCAGTATTGTTTATATGACTACTTGTACGACGACAGCGACTTCACAGCCGGAGACATGTGCTGCGCATGCGGGGGTGGCGAGGGTGGCAATTCAACGGCTCGGAGCGCTCCTTTGTATTGTCCTCACATGCGCTCGTCTGCCTCTTGGGGTCTTTTGGAGGCTCCTTGTGGGAGGCGCCATGCGCATGATGCGCGTGGCGCGTTTGGTGCGTTTCCTTCTCCACCCACCACCTCTCAGATTCCTACTTCACGCTGCTCTCATGGAAAGTACTGTCCAGCGTGGAGCGTGGATCACACTGATCGTGCTGGCAGATGTAAAGTGGGGTCCTCAGACTGTGATCGTGTCGGATTTGGACCCTTGGACCCGTGCTCACACGAGGTTGTGAGGCCGCCCTGGCATACACTAGAACCGAAAAGCGCGCGCGCGCTGTTCTGGCAAGTGTGCGTTTACTGTAAACGCGATATTACTATGCTTGTCCGTCACATGTACACGTACGCATATTTGTATGTACCACGCCCGCCTCATTCAACATCTTATGTATCAATTCGGCCCGCCTCCTCATGGCGCGCCAGTTGGCCTCCTCAGTGCTTGTCCCAATCGAGGCGCCGACGCCCACCAGCCCGACGCCCGCACCCACGCCATCTCCGAATCCGGCCTCGTCTCCCTCTTTCCTTCTTCTGCCTCTCTTCTCCCTCCTATTTTCCCTGCTCCTCATGCCATCTCCCCTTCTTCCTACCTTCTTTATCTCCCTCGTTCTACCCTGTTTCCCTCTTCATCCTCCCTCAGCCCGCCTCCCTATTCCCTGTTCCCCGTTCCTTCCCTCTTCTCTCGTCCCTCCTCCTCCTCCCTACTTCCGTCTTCCCACCTCTCTCCGTCTTCCCTCCTCCCTCTCTCGTCTCATTTCTCCTTCGAAGAATCCCCAATACCTTTCGAGGCGATCTTGGAATTCCCCCCCCCCCCCAAACGCGTGTGGCCCTCAGAAGCATATATAAGCCCGAGCATGACCCCAAGAGCTTCAATGTTGGCCGACAGGACCTCGCGCTGGCGCTAGAGGGCGTTAAAGGAAGCCTTCCGACTGCACTACCTCTACGGTCGATGCTCTAGGCCACTGCACCCCGCTAGAGCCCGAGCGCCGCGTGCGAAGCGTGCGCGATGGTTCTGGTATGTGTACGCGTGCAAATATGCACGCTCATTTTTACACCACATATTTATCCATGTGTATGTATATATATGTGTATGTATATATATATGTATAGGTTCCTGGGCCCAGGTGCTTCGGACATCGGGGCGCGTCTTGAAGCACTCCTAGAGCAATCTCGGGGCCATCGTCGAACCACGCTGTGTCCCCCTGCGGGATCCCCTCCCCGCACCCTTCCCCGCCCTCGCCACCAGTTCTCCCCCTCGCCTGTCAATCCTCCCTGGTGAGAAGGGAGGAGAATTATGATGAGGACAGGGCGATGGCAGAACGAGCAGGATGAGGAGAAATCTGAGGAAGAAGGAGGGCGACACAAGATGAGGGAAGAGTGCAGGAGAAGGAAACAGGAGGGAAAGGAGAAGAAGCCTGGAACCCCTTCCGATAGGGGGCTCGTCGTCATCGCTCATGTTGAATAATCTCCAGTGCTTCCAAGTGCATCATCTTATATCATAGCTGTTTCAGCTACTCGGAACCATTACTAGTTTGGCACTGCTTTGTGCTACTGGCCATTCCTCCCACCTTTTCCTCATGATCGTCTCTCACACGGGGGACCCGCTGGCATGCCGGAGGTAGATAAGTTAGTAGTGCAGGCAACTTGTGCGGACACTTCGGAGGAAGCAATAGGGACCAATGGCGGCGGCTGCGAATGGTGGACGGATTATGCTCAGTATTGTGTATATGACTACTTGTACGACGACAGCGACTTCACAGCCGGAGACATGTGCTGCGCATGCGGGGGTGGCGAGGGTGGCAATTCAACGGCTCGGAGCGCTCCTTTGTATTGTCCTCACATGCGCTCGTCTGCCTCTTGGGGTCCTTTGGAGGCTCCTTGTGGGAGGCGCCATGCGCATGATGCGCGTGGCGCGTTTGGTGCGTTTCCTTCTCCACCCACCACCTCTCAGATTCCTACTTCACGCTGCTCTCATGGAAAGTACTGTCCAGCGTGGAGCGTGGATCACACTGATCGTGCTGGCAGATGTAAAGTGGGGTCCTCAGACTGTGATCGTGTCGGATTTGGACCCTTGGACCCGTGCTCACACTAGGTTGTGAGGCCGCCCTGGCATACACTAGAACCGAAAAGCGCGCGCGCGCGCTGTTCTGGCAAGTGTGCGTTTACTGTAAACGCGATATTACTATGCTTGTCCGTCACATGTACACGTACTCATATTTGTATGTACCACGCCCGCCTCATTCAACATCTTATGTATCAATTCGGCCCGCCTCCTCATGGCGCGCCAGTTGGCCTCCTCAGTGCTTGTCCCAATCGAGGCGCCGACGCCCACCAGCCCGACGCCCGCACCCACGCCATCTCCGAATCCGGCCTCGTCTCCCTATTTCCTTTTTCTGTCTCTCTTCTCCCTCCTATTTTCCCTGCTCCTCATGCCATCTCCCCTCCTTCCTACCTTCTTTATCTCCCTCGTTCTACCAAGACTCCCCAATACCTTTCGAGGCGATCTTGGAATGCCCCCCCCCCAAACGCGTGTGGCCTTCAGAAGCATAAGCCCGAGCATGACCCCAAGAGCTTCAATGTTGGCCGACAGGACCTCGCGCTGGCGCTAGAGGGCGTTAAAGGAAGCCTTCCGACTGCACTACCTCTACGGTCGATGCTCTAGGCCACTGCACCCCGCTAGAGCCCGAGCGCCGCGTGCGAAGCGTGCGCGATGGTTCTGGTATGTGTACGCGTGCAAATATGCACGCTCATTTTTACACCACATATTTATCCATGTGTATGTATATAAATATATGTGTGTATATGAATACATATATAGATACACATATATATATATATATGTGTATAGGTTCCTGGGCCCAGGTGCTTCGGACATCGGGGCGCGTCTTGAAGCACTCCTAGAGTAGTCTCGGGGCCATCGTCGAACCACGCTGTGTCCCCCTGCGGGATCCCCTCCCCGCACCCTTCCCCGCCCTCGCCACCAGTTCTCCCCCTCGCCTGTCAATCCTCCCTGGTGAGAAGGGAGGAGAATTATGATGAGGACAGGGCGATGGCAGAACGAGCAGGATGAGGAGAAATCTGAGGAAGAAGGAGGGCGACACAAGATGAGGGAAGAGTGCAGGAGAAGGAAACAGGAGGGAAAGGAGAAGAAGCCTGGAAGCACTTCCGATAGGGGGCTCGTCGTCATCGCTCATGTTGAATAACCTCCAGTGCTTCCAAGTGCATCATCTTATATCATAGCTGTTTCAGCTACTCGGAAACATTGCGGTGGGGGCGTTGGTTAATGAATGTGCCAGGGAGGCTTCAGACCCTGGAGGGTTCCTTATTTGATAAGGGCGGCGGTAATATCCATGGCCGAGCCTCAATTGGAGTTCCACCGCCCTCAAGACCCTGGATTCCCGATTAATGGGTTCCTTATTCAATGCCCCCACCGTATTAGTTTGGCACTGCTTTGTGCTACTACCCATTATCACCGTTGCCTCATGATCGTCTCCCATACGGGGCACCCGCTGGCATGCCGGAGGTAGATCAGTTAGTAGTGCAGGCAACTTGTGCGGACACTTCGGAGGAAGCAACAGGGACCAATGGCGGCGGCTGCGAATGGTGGACAGATTATGCTCAGTATTGCGCATATGACTACTTGTACGACGACAGCGACTTCACAGCCGGAGACATGTGCTGCGCATGCGGGGGTGGCGAGGGTGGCAATTCAACGGCTCGGAGCGCTCCTTTGTATTGTCCTCACATGCGCTCGTCTGCCTCTTGGGGTCCTTTGGAGGCTCCTTGTGGGAGGCGCCATGCGCATGATGCGCGTGGCGCGTTTGGTGCGTTTCCTTCTCCACCCACCACCTCTCAGATTCCTACTTCACGCTGCTCTCATGGAACATATCGTCCAGCGTGGAGCGTGGATCACACTGATCGTGCTGGCGGATGTAAAGTGGGGTCCTCAGACTGTGATCGTGTCGGATTTGGACCCTTGGACCTGTGCTCACACGAGGTTGTGAGGCCGCCTTGGCATACACTAGAATCGAAAAGCGCGCACGCTGTTCTGGCAAGTGTGCGTGTACTGTAAGCGCGATGTTATTCTGCTTGTCCGTCACATGTACACGTACGCATATTTGTATGTACCACGACCGCCTCATTCAACATTGTATGTATCAATTCGGCCCGCCTCCTCATGGCGCGCCAGTTGGCCTCCTCAGTGCTTGTCCCAATCGAGGCGCCGACGCCCACCAGCCCGACGCCCGCACCCACGTCATCTCCGAGTCCGGCCCTTTTTCTGTCTCTCTTCTCCCTCCTATTTTCCCTGCGCCAGGTGCCAGGGTGGATGGTGCATGGTAATGAAACGGCTGACGCCATCGCCCTCGGAGCAGCTGAGCGATGTAGGATCCCTCTTGCCATTAGGAGTAGAGTGGCCGAAGTCGAGGGGCGGGCTGCTTCAATCAGGCGGAGGCTTCTTCGGGCGACCCTCGAGGCCACGGTCGCCGAGCGTGAGGACGCGAAGGTAACCGCGCCTGGGTCTGGCGATCGTGTCCCGACGGCCCCTGCCCTGCCGCCTCCAGCCCCCTCCACGGTTGCTCGTTTTCGGACCGTGCATTCTCTCAGTGAATGCGGACTCAGATGCACCACGTGTCACAGTAGCGGCACCAAAGCCACCCTGCACGAATGGCTTGCCTCCCCGTGTGCGCCTTTAGAACAAGTAGACTCTATAATTTCTAAGGGGCCTAGTGGGAAGCTGCACTTAGCTGGGGAGTGGGCTCACGAATCATATCGTATGCTCTTTCACCATACACTCAAGGTCTGGATATGTGGGGCTTGCGGGTTTTTCTTCACGGCTAACCTACAAGCGGGGCTCAGGCAGGAGCGTCTAGGGTCTGAATCCCTCAACGACACGATGCGATCCTACCTGGATCGGTTCTACCGAGGGTCTGTCCCCAAGCCTTTAAGCGCTGCTGAACGGGCAGCGCGGCGGAAGCCTGGGGGGTAGTTTCTCTTTCATTGACACCGTCATATTGCTATTCCTATTCCTATGCCCGCCTCCCTATTCCCTGTTCCCCGTTCCTTCCCTCTTCTCTCGTCCCTCTTCTTTCTCCTCCCTACTTCCGTCTTCCCACCTCTCTCCGTCTTCCCTTTTCCCTCCCTCGTCTCATTTCTTCTTCGAAGAATCCCCAATACCTTTCGAGGCGATCTTGGAGTGCCCTCCCCCAAACGCGTGGGGCCCTCAGAAGCATAAGCCCGAGCATAGTGCATACTCAGACAAAGCCCGTGCGGCGGCGTGGCTGACAAGAAACAACCCCAGAATCCTACCACGTCGGAGGCGGGAGCGGGAAGGGGACGAGCGCGAGGAAGGAGACGGAGCTCCACAAGCTGCAAGGGAGACGCCTGAGGGTGAAAGCGGTTGGGTGCACACTCGCCAACTAAAACAAGACATTCGAACGAGGGCACACGGGCGCTCAAGCGCCCAGCACCGCGCATAACCATGACGGTGACGGCGTCAGGGCAAGCCTGGCGTGTGGCCAGAGGCCAGGGTCAACCAGCAGCGGGCACAGACAGGTCCACACGCAGTGCTCATGCACGCGGTGCGCTGTAAAGCAACCAATTAGGGGGAGAGGGGGGGGGAGGGGGGGAGAACCAAGGAGAGAGGAGGAGAAGAGGAAGAGGACGAGGAACGCTGACTGCATCACCCTGCGCTGACTGCAACGCCCCGTGGCGACCTAAACGGTCGCCGCCAGGCGGGCCGGGGCCGCGCACAGAACTCACATCGACACGTCGCACCCGCAGAGGTCCGCCACGTTCTTCCGCACCCGGCCGTGCTGCTCCACGCCGCGCTGCAAGTACCCGTGGCGCAGCGCCACGACGTGGTCTGGCACGATTCCGACACAGGTCCTCGGGCTGCCGTGGCGGCTGCGGCTGCGTCTGCAGGTGCCAGGTCTGCACGGCGCTGCTGGTGCTTGGTGCTGCCGCCTTCGGTGCTGGGGTCGGCTGCTGGCGACGGTGCTGGTGTTGGCGTCGGTGCTGGTGTTGGCGTCGGCGTTGGTGCTGGCGTTCATGCCGGCGTAGGCGCCGGCGTTGGTGCTGTCGTCGGTGCTTGCGTCGACGGTGGCGTAGGCTCTGGCGTTGGTGCCGGCATAGGCGCGGGCGTTGGCGCTGGCATCGATGCTGGCGTTGGTGCTGGTGTAGGCGCTGGCGCTTATGCCGGCGATGCTGGTGCCAGCACCGGTGCAGGTGATGGCGTTGGTGCCGGCGGAGGCGCACGCGTGGATGCCGGCGTAGGCTTTGGCGCTGGTGCCAGCGTAGGCGCGGGCGCTGGTGCCGGCGTCGATGCTGGCGCTGGTGCTGCAGTAGGCGCTGGCGTTCAGGCCCGCGGAGGCGCCGGCGTTGGTGCTGTCGCCGGTGCTGGCGTCGACGTTGGCGTAGGCTCTGGCGTTGGTGCCGGCGTAGGCGCAGGCGTTGGCGCTGGCGTCGATGCTGGCGCTGGTGCTGGTGGCGCTGGCGCTCATGCCGGCGATATTGGTGTCGGCACTGGTGTAGGTGATGGCGTTGGTGCCGGCGGAGGCGCACGCGTGGATGCCGGCGTAGGCACTGGCGCTGGTGCCGGCGTAGGCGCGGGCGCCGGTGCCGGCGTCGATGCTGGCGCTGGTGCTGATGTAGGCGCTGGCGTTCATGCCGGCGTAGGCGCCGGCGTTGGTGCAATCGTCGGTGCTGGCGCCGAAGGTGGCGTAGGCTCTGGCGTTGGTGCCGGCGTAGGCGCGGGCGCTGGTGCCGGCATCGATGCTGGCGCTGGTGCTGATGTAGGCGCTGGCGTCGATGCCGTCGTAGGCGTCGGCGTTGGTGATATCGTCGGTGCTGGCGTCGACGTTGGCGTAGGCGCTGGTGTTGGTGCCGGCGGAGTCGCGAGCGTTGGCGCTGGCGTCGATGCCGGCGCTGGTGCTGTGGCGTAGGCGCTGGCGCTCATGCCGGCGTAGGTGCTGGCGTTCGTGCTGTCGTCGGTGCCGGCGTTCATGCCGTCGTAGGCGTCGGCGTTGGTGATATCGTCGGTGCTGGCGTCGCCGTTGGCGTAGGCGCTGGCGTTGGTGCCGGCGGAGTCGCGAGCGTTGGCGCTGGCGTCGATGCCGGCGCTGGTGCTGTGGCGTAGGCGCTGGCGCTCATGCCGGCGTAGGCGCTGGCGTTCGTGCTGTCGTCGGTGCCGGAGCGTCGACGGTGGCGTAGTAGGCTCTGGCGCTGGTGCCGGCGTAGGCGCGGGCGTTGGCGCTGGCGTCGATGCTGGCCCTGGTGCTGGAGTAGGCGCGGGCGCTCATGCCGGCAGTACTGGTGTCGGCACTGGTGTAGGTGATGGCGTTGGTGCCGGCGGAGGCGCACGCGTGGATGCCGGCGTGGGCACTGGCGCTGGTGCCGGCGTAGGCGCGGGCGCTGGTGCCGGCGTCGATGCTGGCGCTGGTGCTGGTGTAGGCGCTGCCGTTCATGCCGGCGTAGGCGCCAGCGTTGGTGCTGTCGTCGGTGCTGGCGCCGACGGTGGCGTAGGCTCTGGCGTTGGTGCAGGCGTAGGCGCGGGCGTTGGCGCTGGCGTCGATGCTGGCGCTGGTGCTGGTGTAGGTGCTGGCGCTCATGCCGGCGATGCTGGTGTCGGCACTGGTGCAGGTGATGGCGTTGGTGCCGGCGGAGGCGCACGCGTGGATGCTGGCGTAGGCACTGGCGCTGGTGCCGGCGTAGGCGCGGGAGCTGGTGCAGGCGTCGATGCTGGCGCTGGTGCTGGTGTAGGCCCAGGCGTTCATGCCGGCGTAGGCGTCGGTGTTGGCGCTGGCGTCGGTGCTGGCGTCGACGGTGGCGTAGGCACTGGCATTGGTGCAGGCGTAGGCGCAGGCGTTGGCGCTGGCGTCGATGCTGGCGCTGCACTGGTGGCGCTGGCGCTCATGCCGGCGATGCTGGTGTCGGCACTGGTGTAGGTGATGGCGTTGGTGCCGGCGGAGGCGCACGCGTGGATGCCGGCGTGGGCACTGGCGCTGGTGCCGGCGTAGGCGCGGGCGCTGGTGCCGGCGTCGATGCTGGCGCTGGTGCTGCAGTAGGCGCTGGCGTTCATGCCGGCGTAGGCGCTGGCGTTGGTGCTGTAGTCGATCGGTGCTGGCGTCGACGGTGGCGTAGGCTCTGGCGTTGGTGCCGGCGTAATTAGGCGCGGGCGTTGGCGCTGGCGTCGATGCTGGCGTTGGTGCTGGTGTAGGCGCTGGCGCTCATGCCGGCGATGCTGCTGTCGGCACTGGTGTATGTCATGGCGTTGATGCCGGCGGAGGCGCACGCGTGGATGCCGGCGTAGGCACTGGCGCTGGTGCCAGCGTAGGCGCGGGCGCTGGTGCAGGCGTCGATGCTGGCGCTGGTGATGGTGTAGGCGCTGGCGTTCATGCCGGCGTAGGCGCCAGCGTTGGTGCTGCCGTCGGTGCTGGCGCCGACGGTGGCGTAGGCTCTGGCGTTGGTGCAGGCGTAGGCGCGGGCGTTGGCGCTGGCGACGATGCTGGCGGTGGTGCTGGTGTAGGCGCTGGCGTTCAAATCCTCCTGCTGCTGAGGCGGCGTTGGCTGTCTGACTGTGCAGCTGCAATGATGCTGGTACCCGTCACAGTGTGCATGTACTCGTCCTCTACTGGATGTCGGGGTACTGCGACGGGATGGGTGCGTCAGTCTGGCCAGAAGCAAGGATACCGCCACACAGTGCTGGTCACTCGTAACGGTCTGAACGACATGCAAAGCCAGCGAGCCAAGACTCCGAAACAAGGATGCCGCCACAGTGGGATCCAGGTGGTGGCCGTCGGATCCCTATCCTGGAGTTGCTGGCCGTCGTGGACGGCCGATTCAGGAGGATGGGCTGGCAACCCCCAAAAACGTCGGGTAGGGCGTCGGGTAGGGCGACGGGTGGGGCGTCGGGAAGGGCGTCGGGTAGGGCACCGGGCAGGGCGCCGGGTAGATGCTAGCCGTCATGCTCGTGACGCTCAGTGTCGTCGTGCCGGCGCTGGTGCCAGAGCCACTCGTCGATCTCGCGTTCGCACTCGTTGACCTCGTGGTGGTTGTGATAGTCCTGGAACTGCTGATCGTCGTGCTCATGCCGCTGGTACCGGAGCCACTCGTCGAGCTCGTGGAGGTCGTCGCATCCTGGGCTGCGCTGGTGGCTGCACTGGCGGGTGCAGGGCTGGCCTGCAGTGGGGCCCATCTGCTCGGTCCCGTTGGTCGGAGTCCCAGTGTTCCGTCGTCGTACCCCGACTGGGTGCCAGAATCGCGTTGTAAGTCCCCAAGTTGCTGCTGACGCCGTTCTGCATGACGCAGCCGCACTGCTCACGGGGCTGTGCTGCTCGTGGCGCCCGTCGTGTTGCTCAAGGCGTGCGCTTCGACGTAAGCCGGCGAGCGTTACGACAAGGCGAGGGCGGAAACCGTGACACGTCCAGGCGGGTATTCCGTGACATCACGAGGCTCCCAGTGCGGCGAGCGTCATAGCAAAGGTCGTGGTGAGTCTGATCGGGGGTAACATGTTGTAGCCCATGTGGGTGGTGGCGGCGAAGGTGCCAGCGAAGGCGCAAGCGTTGATTCCGGCGTCAGTGCTGGCGTGGGCGCACGCGCAGGTGCTGGTGTAGGCGCTGTCGTTGGTGCTAGCGTCTGTGCTGATGCAGGCGCTGGCGCTTGTACCAGCTGGCGCAGGCGTCGGTGCTGGCGTCGGCGCTGGCAGCGGCGCTGGAGGAGGCGCCGGCGTTGGGGCTCGCGTCCGTGCTGGCGTCGGTGTTGGCGCAGGCGCTGACATTGGTGTCGGGTGTCGGCGTCGGCGTCGGTGCCTGAGTCTGCGCTGGTATGGGCGATGGCATTCGTGCTGGCGTGGGCGCCAGTGTTGGTGCTGGCGTTCGTGCTGGCGTCGGCGCTGATGTAGGCGCTGGCGATGGTATTAGCGTAGGCTCAAGCGATAATGCTGGCGTCGGCCATGGTCAGAAACCGGCGATAGTTCTGGCGTCGGTGCTGGCCGGGGTTGGTGACGGCACTGGCGATAGTGCTGGCCTAGGCGCCAGCGTTGCTGCTGGCGACGGTGCTGGCCTCGGCGCTTGTGTAGACGCTGGCGCTGGTGCCAGCGGAGGCGCAGGCGTGGATGCTGGCGTCGGTGCCGGTGTCGACGCTGGCGTAGGTGCTGGCGTTTGTGCTGGCGTCGGTGTACGTGCAGGCGCCGGCGTTAGTGCCTGCAGGCGTTGATGCTGGCGTCGACGCTGGAGGTGCCGGCGTTGGAGCTCACGTCCGTGCTGGTATCGGCGTCGGTATAGGCACTGGCGTCGGTGCCAGGGTAGGGGCAGACGTTGCTGCTGGCGTCGGTGCTGGTGTCGGCGCTGGCTGAGGCGCCAGCATTAGCGTCGGTGCTGGCAACGGTGGTCGGCGCGGGCGCGGCATTCGCGCTGGCGTCCATTCTGGCGTCGGCGCTGGTGTAGGCGCTGGCGTTGCTGCTGGCCGAGGCACAGGCCTTGATGCTGGCGTCGGTATTGGCGTCGGCGCTGGATTAGGCGCCGACGATAGCTCTGGCGTCGGTGCTGGCGCTGCTGGCGTTGGGGCTGCTGTAGGCGGTGGACGTAACGGTCTGGACGTAAAGGTCTGGACGCCCAACTGGACGTGATGGTGGAGGCGCTGGTGCTGGTGCAGGCGGATGTGCATGCGTCGGTGCTGGCGTCGACGCTGGTGTCGGTACTGGAGTAGGCGATGGCGTTGGTGCTGGCGCAGGCGCAGGCGTGGGTGCTGGCGCAGACGCTGGCGCTGGTGCCAGCGTAAGCGCGGGCTTTGGTGCCAGCGTCGATGCTGGCGCTAGTGCTGGTGTAGGCGCTGGCATTCATGCCGGCTGAGGCGCCGGCGTTGGTGCCATCGTCGGTGCTGGCGTCGACGGCGGCGTAGGCGCTGACGTTGGTGCCGGCTTAGGCGCAGGCGTTGGCGCTGGCGTCGATGTTGCCGCTGGTGCTACTGTAGACGCTGGCGTTCATGCCGGCGGAGGCGCCTGCGTTGGTACTGTCTTCGGTGCTGGCGTCGACGACGGCGTAGGCGCTGGCGTTGGGGCCGGCGTAGGCGCAGGCGTCGGTGCTGAAGTCGATGCTGGCGCTGGTGCTACTGTAGCCGCTGGCGTTCATGCCGGCGTAGGCGCCGGCGTCGGTGCTGTCGTCGGTGCTGGCGACGACGGCGGCGTAGGCGCTGGCGTTGGAGCCGGCGTAGGCGCAGGCGTCGGTGCTGAAGTCGATGCTGGCGCTGGTGCTACTGTAGACGCTGGCATTCATGCCGGCGTAGGCGCCGGCGTCGGTGCTGTCGTCGGTGCTGGCGTCGACGGCGGCGTAGGCGCTGACGTTGGTGCCGGCGTAGGCGTGGGTGTTGTAGATATCGTCGGTGATGCTTTCGGTAACTTGCGCGATGCTCGCCGCCGCTGCGCTGGCGGATGTCCCCAAGCGTCCCCAGCGGGGTTCTCGAAGCTGGAGAAGAACAGGTTGAAGTGGACGTGGAATGATTTTGATGCTGGTCGTTGTGGCCGTACCCCTGCTCGTGATGGCGGTGGCGGGCATTCGTAGAAATCGTGGTGGCGCCCAGCGTAGTCGCGCTACTGGAAGCCCTCGTCGAACCCGTGGAGGTCGTGCTAGTCCTCGAGCCGCTCAGCAACCTCGCGTCGTTGGGACCGGAAGCACTCGTCGAGCTGGTGGTGGACGTCGCATCCTAGGAACAGTTGCTGGCCGTCGAGCACATGCTGCTCACCGTCGTCCTGCCGTCGCTGGAACTGGATCCCCTCGTCGAGCTCGAGGTGCACTGGTGCTGCAGATTGCAGTGGGGCTGCTGCACGGCGCGCCGCTGGGGACGTTGAACTGGCCAGCCCGCGATTTCCGGCGTACCGGTCCATCCGCTACCGCCCGGAGGAGGGGTATTCAAAGGTTGTTCAATTGCGACGGTGCTGGCGTCGGTGCTGGCTTCGGCACTGGTGTGGGAGCCGGTGTTGGTGTCGGCGTATGCGTCGGCATTGATGCTGGCGTAGGGGCTGACGCTGGCGTAGGGGCGTTGGTGCTGCTGCGCGTGGCGCTGCTGGTCTCAGCCGTGGGAGTCAAAATGGTGTACCGGCCTATCCGCAATTTTCGGCGTGCCGGCCCATCCGCTATCGCCCGGCGGCAGGGGAAACTCCGAGGTGATTCGATGGCGGCGGTGCTGGCGTCGGTGCTGGCGTCGGTGCTGGTGTGGGCGCCGGCGTAGGTGTCGGCGTATGCGCCGGCGTTGACGCTGGCGTAATTAAGGGCTGGCGCTGGCGTAGGGGCGTTGGTGCTGCTGCGCGCTGGGCTGCTGGTCCAAGCCGTGGGAGTCAAACTGGTGTACCGGCCTATCCGCGATTTTCGGAGTGCTGGCGCATCCGCCGTCGCACGGCGGAAGGGGTACTCAAAGGTGGGACGATGGCGGCGGTGCTGGCGTCGGTGCTGGCGTCGGTGCTGGTGCGGGCGCCGGCGTAGGTGTCGGCGTAGGCGCCGGCGTTGGTGCCAACGAAGGGGCTGACGTTGGCGAGGAGGCGATGGTGCTGCTGCGCACTGCGCTACTGGTCCAAGCCGTGGGAGACAAAGTGGTGTACCGGCCTATCCGCGATTTTCGGCGTGCCGGCCCATCCGCTCCCGCACGGCAGAAGGGGAACTTAGAGGTCGAAGCTGCTGGTGCCCAACGCGCTGATGACAAGCCGTGCTGCATCTTGTCGTGTGGCTGCTGCAGTCGGTCGTGCTGTGCATCGTCGGGCTGAGCGTCGTCGTGCTGCTGCGCGCCACCCAAGGGCGTGAGAATCGCAATGCTGCGCTGCTGGCCATGATGATGGTGATGAACAGACCGCGATGTAGAAAAACACGAACACGAAGCAGTGCTCGAGGGCGCAGTGCAAGAAGTGGCGGCAAATGTGCGGCCGGGCCTGCAAGCCGAGCACGGGCAGTCAGGGGGTGGAGATAAAATTGACGAGCGGGGATGCCGTACGCTCTGGGACTCGAAGTCGATCTGCGACGGCTCGCAGGAGTGTGTAGAATAGCGCCCGCGCCACTGAAGCAAGGCAGAAGATGGCCGGCATCAGCACCACTGCCCAAGCGCCCTGTTAGCGGCAGCGTGGCCCCGCACCAGCTCCCGGACTGCCTGTTGAAGAGCCTCTTGCGCCGCCGCTCCTGCAGGGATTGCACCGTGGCGAACCATGCAGTGCACTTTGTACACGGCTGCAGTGCGGAGCGCCTTGCGCGCCAGTAGCGACGGATCCGCGTCGATGCTGTTCGGGCCCATGTCCAGCAGGAGAAAGCAAGCCAGACACTCCCCCCGGGACGCTGGACGCTGTATCCCCAGTCGCGACTGCGCGAATCTCCACACATGGGGACACGACGCATAATGCTGGATTGAATCTTGGGCGTCAGGGCCACAGAAGGCATAGCGGTCGGCGTGACCACCTCGCCCTTGGAAGCGTCGGAAGGTGACCCACCCGTTCCACTGCGTGCGCCACGTCGCCGCGAGCACTCTCGGCGCGACCATCGCCGACAAGCGGCCGAGCGCCTGCAGGCAGCGCTGGGCGCGTATGCGCGGGAGTTGCGGGACGTCCCAATATTCCAGCTTGTGGCGGGTCCTCGTCTCAATGCAGGTCGTCGGAGGCGCGGGCAAAGCGGCCAGCGCGGCGCCCTGGAAGCGACGACACACTCGGTGAGCAGTGCTCTGCGGGAAAGGCCTCTGCTCGTCGCCGGCCAGCTCGTTTTCCAGCGCCAGCGGGGTGATTCCGGCGCGTCGAAAGTGAAGAACTGCGTCCTCCAGCTGCACAGTGAACGCCCGTTGGAACCAAGACGCCCAAGTCCCCATCCTCACCGCGTGCTCAGTATTTGTCAGCCAGTGGCGAAGCTCGCGCGCACGCTGCTCCGCGCGAAGCCCGGTCGGCTTCGCCTCCAAGTGCGCCACTCGAAACCGGCTCGCCAGCGAGAGCAGCGCGGCGTCCGGGACCTCCTGCAGGAAACCGAACGCGCGGAGGTTGCGCAGGTCGTTCGGCACGCACCAGGCACCAGGCCCTCGCACCAGGGAGCGGAAGGCGGCAGCCTCTGCGCTGTCCCAGGCAGTGGGCAAGGAGTCAAGTTGAAGAAGAAAGCCGATGACCGGGAGGATGTACACCTTGTAAGCCAAGATGGTCAAAAGTAAGCCGCCCCCCGCCGCGCCTCAGGCCTCCGCCCTTGTCTTCAGCTTCTGCAGCGGTTTCTCGAAGGATCGTTCGCCGCGGTCGGGGCCCAGCACGAAGCCGAGATACTTGGCGTGACGCTCTGTGCGTATTCCGGCCCAAGCAGGGAAGTTCCAAGCAACCGCAGCAGCAAACTCCGGCAGCTCCTGCAGGAACATTGGGACGATCACCGTCTTTGGTAAGCTGAGACGCAGTCCCGAGATCCGAGCGAACTCCTCGAAAATCTGAATGAGCGTCGGGAAGGACCCAGCGCCAGAAGGAAACACTGCGCCCACGTCGTCGGCATAGGCCCGGACCACCGCATCTGGAACAAGCCGCGAAATTCTCCGAAGCAAAATGTCAACTGCTGCTGAGAAGAGGAGCGGCGAGAGCGGACAGCCCTGCCGGATGCCTGCCAAAAGTTCAAAGCCTTCGTGCTGCCGGCCGCCAGCCACCATGGCGCAAGTGTTCCTCTGGTAGAGCGTCGAGACGAAGCGCAATACCCACTGCGGAAGCCCAATTGCTGCTAATGCGTCCTGCAAAAAGTCGTGCGAGACGCTGGGGAACGCCGCCTTGAAGTCGAAGAATACCGCCACGCCCGCGTCGTTGCACAAAGCCGTTCGCATCATGGCATGGTCGACGTCCACGACGTTCGCCAGCATCGATCTGCCCGGCACGAATCCGCGCTGTTGTGAGGAGATCAATTCTGCCAGCAAAGGTTCTACTCGAAGGCGCACTGCGTTGGCCAAAATGCGGTTGTCGCAGTTCACTACGTTAAGCGGGCGCGTGTCACCAGGGTCGTAGTAGTCCCCCGCTTCGGCATCGTGGCCGCTCGGCGCCCTGGGGAGGAACACCATGAGGCTCCTGTTGAAGCCGAGCTCAGCGGAGGGGCCGTGCAAGAACTCCTCGAGGTCAGAGGGGCCAGGGCCCTCGGCGAGGCACTCCAAAGCCCCGGCCAACACGTCGACGGCCAGGGGGCCCATCTGGCGCCAAGCTAGGAATGGAATGCCGTCGGGCCCGGGCGCCGAGTCTGGTGAATCATCAATGGCAGTCTCCACGTCTTTCCGCTGCGGCCGCCACTCCGGGCTGTCGGGGGGAGGGAGCCCGGCTGACGAGATGTCCTCCCGAATCCAAGTCTGCAGCAGCGCGCGGTCAACGCGACAGGACGCAAACGTGGCGGCCCAATGGTCGCGTAACGCAGCTACCATCTCGCCCGGGTCCGTCACGACCTCGCCGCGAGCGTTTCTCGCTGCCGGGACGGCAGAGCACCTGCCAGGGGACAGCCGCCGGAGCATGTGGAAGATCCGGTCGCGCTTGTGGGCCTTCTCAACGTCGCTGGACAAGTGGCCGTTCTCGTGCTGCTCGGTGAGCTGCAGGATGGCAGACTCGCGAGCAAGTTCAACGGCGTGCTCGCGAAATGGACCCGAACCTGCCCCTCTGAGGTGGAAGAGCCCCATGGGATCGGCCGTCAGGGAGCTGAGTGCCGGGTATGATCGGAGACAATGCTGCATCACCCCCGCGTTGCCTTGCTCAGCCGCCCGCACCAACCGCATGGTGTAGCCCAATCAGCCCAGTATGCACTGTGCGTCACCCGTTATGGACTCGTTGTGTGAGGCCTCATTATATAAGTGGTCGTTTTGACCATGTGGGGATTGATGCACACACGGCGCCGCGGTCCATTCTCGTTTCCTCCTCCTCGTCTTCCGCCCCTCCGCCGGGGTCCCAAGTCCGGGGCCATTTCAAGTTTTTGCTTCCGTCCTTGCCGGGGAACTGTAACGATGTCGTATTCAGCAGGCTCTGTCAGAACGCCTTGGAGTAGAGGACTGGTACCATAGTGTACATAAGGCATTCGGCTGTCGCCGAAAGTCTGGGTGGCTCCTCGCCCCCGGGTCGCGTTTAAGGGGCCCCCAGCTGCTGTGTCTTCATCGAAAAAAAAAGAAGCATAAGCCCGAGCATGACCCCAAGAGCTTGAATGTTGGCCGGCAAGATCCCGCGCTGGCGCTGGAGGGCATTAAAGGAAGCCTTCCGACTTCACTACCTCTACGGTCGATGCTCTAGGCCGCTGCGACCCGCTAGAACCCGAGCGCCGCGTGCGAAGCGTGCGCGATGGTTCTGGTATGTGTACGCATGCAAATACACATGCTTAGAATTACATGTGTATATATATACATATATATATATATATATATATATAATGTAGGTTCATGGGCCCAGGAGCTTCGGACATCGGGGCGCGTCTTGAAGCACTCCCAGAGCAATGTTGGGGCCATCGTGGAACCAACCATACCCCCCCCCGCACCCTTCCCCGCCCCCGCCCCCAGTTCTCCCCCTCGCCTGTCGCTCCTCCCTGGGGAGAGGGGAGGAGAATGATGATGAGGACAGGGCGAAGGCAGAACGAGCAGGATGAGGAGAAATCTGAGAAGAAGGAGGGTGACAAAAGATGAGGGGAGAGTGCAGGAGAAGAAAACAGGAAGGAAACGAGAAGAAGCCTGGAACCCCTTCCGATAGGGGGCTCGTCGTCATCGCTAGTTTGGGACGACAGCGACTTCACAGCCGGAGACATGTGCTGCGCATGCGGGGGTGGCGAGGGTGGCGATTCAACGGCTCGGAGCGCTCCTTTGTATTGTCCTCACATGCGCTCGTCTGCCTCTTGGGGTCCTTTGGAGGCTCCTTGTGGGAGGCGCCATGCGCATGATGCGCGTGGCGCGTTTGGTGCGTTTCCTTCTCCACCCACCTTCTCTCAGATTCCTACTTCACGCTGCTCTCATGGAACATATCGTCCAGCGTGGAGCGTGGATCACATTGATCGTGCTGGCGGATGCAAAGTGGGGTCCTCAGACTGTGATCGTGTCAGATTTGGACCCTTGGACCCGTGCTCACACGAGGTTGTGAGGCCGCCCTGGCATACACTAGAATCGAAAAGCGCGCGCGCTGTTCTGGCAAGTGTGCGTGTACTGTAAGCGCGATGTTATTCTGCTTGTCCGTCACATGTACACGTACGCATATTTGTATGTACCACGCCGGCCTCATTCAATATCTTATGTATCAATTCGGCCCGCCACCTCATGGCGCGCCATTTGGTCTCCTCAGTGCTTGTCCTAATCGAGGCGCCGACGCCCACCAGCCCGACGCCCGCACCCACGCCATCTTCGAATCCGGCCTCGTCTCCCTCTTTCTTTTTTCTATATTTTTTCTCCCTCCTATTTTCCATGTTCCTCCTGCCTTCTCACGTCCTTCCTACCTTCTTTATCTCCCTCGTTCTACCCTGTTTCCCTCTTCATCCTCCCTCAGCCCGCCTCCCTATTCCCTGTTCCCCGTTCCTTCCCTCTTCTCTCGTCCCTCTTCCTCCTCCCTACTTCCGTCTTCCCAGCTCTCTCCGTCTTCCCTCTTCCCTCCCTCGTCTCATTTCTTCTTCGAAGAATCCCCAATACCTTTCGAGGCGATCTTGGAGTGCCCCCCCCCAAACGCGTGTGGCCCTCAGAAGCATAAGCCCGAACATGACCCCAAGAGCTTGAATGCTGGCCGACAAGACCCCGCGCTGGCGCTGTAGGGCATTAAAGGAAGCCTTCCGACTTCACTACCTCTACGGTCGATGCTCTAGGCCGCTGCGACCCGCTAGAACCCGAGCGCCGCGTGCGAAGCGTGCGCGATGGTTCTGGTATGTGTATGCATGCAAACGTACATGCTTATATATATATATATATATATATATATATATATATATATATATATATTGTAGGTTCATGGGCCCAGGAGCTTCGGACACCGGGGCGCGTCTTGAAGCACTCCCAGAGCAATATTGGGGCCATCGTGGAACCAACCATACTGTGTCCCCCTGCGGGACCCCCTCCCCGCACCCTTCCCCGCCCCCGCCCCCAGTTCTCCCCCTCGCCTGTCACTGCTCCCTGGGGAGAGGGGAGGAGAATGATGATGAGAACACTGCGAAGGCAGAACGAGCAGGATGAGGAGAAATCCGAGGAAAAAGGACGGCGACATAAGATGAGGGAAGAGTGCAGGAGAAGGAAGCAGGAGGTGTGAGATAGTGCATGTGTCACGTGTGTATATGCGCCACTCGCCGCCGTTTGGCCTCTAGGGGCCCCTTTTTGCCATTGCGCTAAAACGCATCATAATCACACTTGTAGCGGAGCTACCACACGATCCTCGTATCGTACCACTGCGCGCACGTCTCGTCAGAGAGTGTCGCACTGGCTTTCTTTATTTTCTGTACTAGTAGTTTGTTTCCCTTGCTAGGGGACTGAGCCTTGCGCCATGGCATTGTCTTGTCTTCGCTATCGGCCGAGCGCCGACGCGCTGACGCGGTCCGAGACGAAGAGTGGCTAATACATCTACGATGGCACGGTGAACAGCTGTCACGAGTGGGAATTCCGCACAGAGATGCGCATGAGTGCCGGTTTGGCCTCAGTGGATCAAGCGACGGGTGCACCACAGCGACACGTGATCACCGCAGCTGTCAACAAGGTTGTAAAAGGCTTCAGAGGTGACGTTTTCGAGATTGCCATGGATATCGGGAAGGACGTGCTTCTGACTCCGAATGGGATCGATCAGTTGGTGCTGGCAATTCGTATTTCACTCTTCCCCATAGAGGCGCAGGAATCGAAGACCCTGTTCCAGGTGGGACAGAGACCATATGGACCACTGCCCCGGCAGCACGGTGAGTCTATCGTCTCGCACATCTCCCGAAGGAAGCGCTGGTGGAAACTTGCCTCCAAGTTGAATCCTAAGATCTGGATGAGCGACGATACGCTTGGCTCCCTTCTCTTGGACCATGCTGGCTTTTCGCCTTCGGAGAAGCTGATGGTGTTGACATCCGCAGGAAATGTGACAACCTTCGACAATATCACGGACGTCTTGATCCTCCAACACGGCCGCATACACATCCGCCAAAAAGGCAAGGGTGAGTCTGGCATAGGCTCCAGTTCTTCGACGTGGACGCAGCCCAGACCCAGCTACCTGAACAGCAGCAAGGGCAAGGGCAAGGTGCCCTTCTCCAGGCCACAACACGCCTTCTACACTGCTGATGAAGGATGGTACGAGCAGAAGGAGCATTACCCTAAGGAGCTGAGTCCCTACGGGTACTACGCGTCTGGCTATGCGCCAGAGCATGGCTGGGGCGACGCGGCCTGGGACGACTGCGCCGACGAACGCACCGACGTCGACGAGGAATCGCATGCTCACTGGGCCCCTATCCAGGATAGCAGCGAGCTCGACGCCGAGGTGGTCGACGAGATGGTCAAGGCCGGATACGCGGAGGAAGAAGCTTCTGACGCGACCCGCGAGGACCCAGTCGCCAACCTCGGCACCAAAGGGAGGATCAAGGGCAGAGGAAAGAGCGGAGGCGAGAGTTACCACCGCACGCCTTGGTCGCCCAAGGGAGGCGGCAAGGGGGGGCCTTCCCTGGAAGATCGCAAGAAGCGGCCCCAGGAGATCAAGAAACGCTCGACATGCAAGACCTGCCACGAAACAGGCCGCTGGCATGGAGACCTTGAATGCAAGGGCAAGCCCTGGGCGGCAACGGTAGCGCACATCCAGTTGCGCGAGGACGATGAAGAACGAAAACTGACATCCGTCACTTCCGCTGCTGCATCAATCCTTCATCATTTCATTGGGTGCAAGGGAGGGTCGATGAGGATGGATCCTGGTGTTTCTCGTTTCTGCTCTTCTTTTTCTTCTTCGCGTCCTGTGCCGCAGGGCGCGCGGGCGCGATGGAGGGGGTCGTGGCGGGCAGCGCAGCTTGCTGCGCAACCACGTCGAGCGTCGCGCATGTGAGAGTTGCACGGGGATGACCGAAGCCGCTCCAGTTCGGGGACCTCCAGAGCCCCGGGAGAAGAGTCTTCAGACCTCTGCAGAGGGTGAGGGGGGTACCCTTGGGTTAATGGCTGTTCGCTCGACCGAATCTTATCCTATTGCCAGCGTTTCGGGAGTTCGAGGGGGGGGATCTGTTTCGGATCCAATCTCTGTCACTGCTCAGGATGCTGCGTTAGCTTCGGGTCAGCGGAAAGGGCTCGGTTATGGTCGCGTTCTCAGGGATGCTCCTGGCTACGTGAATTGGGGTCGCAAGGTGAAGAACCCAAGTGGGGATCTGGTACTGTTATTAGGATGGGCCGATAGCAACTTCACTCGCAAGGAAGACGGACAGTTTGCGAGAGTTTCGGGGCCGAAAGTTTCCAGCAACAAGGTTGTATCATTCGGGTTCTTCTTCTGGCCTGAACGGGGAACCTCTGAACCCCCCGTTGCCTCATCCATGCGTTCGAGGTTGTAAGAATACTTCGGGAGTCAATTCCAGTGCTCGTTTCATCGCTCGCACCTGCAAGGATTGTGGGCACAAGACCAAGAAGAAGAGGTGCACGGCGCTGCGCCCCCCGGGTGAGTGTCCGCACGATCTCGTATATAGTCGCGGCAGTGCTCCAGATATTGTTCGTGCGTAGTGTCGTCGTTGCCTGACATGTATCGATGAGCAGCCGAGCAAGCGAGCAGAAGACAATAAAGCAGTAGTTAATAAAGTTGAACGCTCCAGCAACATTCAACCATTCGCACCTGATACGATTATTGAGGACGGTCGCCGTATCACCTCTGTAAAGCTAAAGGTGGTTTTCTTAAAGGCTTTCACTAAATTGAGATTTGCGATGATACGGGCGACACTAGCACGGGTGAACTAACTTCTTCGCCCCACGACCGTGTCACTGAAGTCACGGATCACAGCCTTGTCGGTTTTATGGCTCCGACGCAGGACGTTTCGACCGAAGTTTCGGCTCTTTCTCAGCATCGTGCGGTTGATATCTTCACGGACGAAGGTGTTTGGGTTATCCTAGACGAGGGTTGCAATTCATGTTGCCGCGGCAAGGCTGGGGCTCTTAACGCAGAGGATAAATTCGAGAAGGTGTGTCTCTATTTTAAATGGTTCACAGACAGCACAAGACGTGCAGCGGTATAGGAGGACAGGCAGGGAGTGAGACGACAGGTAAGAAGAGTTTTTTTCGTTTCGTGCCGTTGCTTCTCGCGGCGCCGCGAGTGGGTGTCTCGAGTCGCATCAGTTGAAATATTCGGATCGTGTTCCTCTCTTGTTGTCTCTTTCTGCACAAGGTTCCCTTTGTCTCGTGGGGAATCTTGCGGTCGTGCTTTCTTGAGTCAGGAAGGCGAGGTAGAAATGCGTCGTTGTGCTCGCTCAGGTCTTCTTATCATTCGCCTTGATCAGTCTGGCCCAGAGCATGCTGCGAAGTCCCTTCGTCCGTTGCACATTCCGCATCCAAGCAGCTGCGCAGGCCCCGCCGGCCGCGCCGCGCCGCCTGCTGTCGTTGACCACTCCAGTGACGACGGGGTCACGCGCGTGCCCGCGCCCGTCGATCACTCCAGTGACGACGAGGGCGCGCGGGTCGCTGCCATGGCTGCTGGTGCTGGTGCTAGTCCCACACCACAGGGCTCGAAGTTTGCTGTGATCACGCTGGGCTTGGAGAACTTCGAGAACGACCCAAGGTGCTCGGGGTCGTCGATGCTGAGGGAGTACATCCGCTGTCACCATCGCTCCAGTCACGATATGACTACCAGAGGACGCGACGCCAATGCCATCATAGATGCGCTCATTGCAGCAGATGAGAACATGGCGAACTATGACCAGCACGCGTAGGTGGACGCCAGGGTTCTGAACGACCCGACCCACACGCGCCATATCGGTCATCATCCGGATATCTTACGCGATTCAGTTGAGAATGAACATTTCGTTGGCATCACTGAGTATGTTGGGAAATCGCTTGCGAAGCACAAGTCTTCGCAGTCTGCGTGCGTTGTTGCCATCTGTCGTTCTGGTCGGCATCGCTGTGTTGCTGTTAGTTATGGTGCTAAGCAGTTGTTGAAGCAGTACGACACCGAATGCAGTTCTGCACGCCTGAGTCGACTTGAGTGGCCCAAACGTACTTGTATTGGAGAAGGTGATGACTGTTGCCACGTATCCGATTGGGGCCGTGAGATGGCGAATTCTGCGACTGACAAGATGGCTTCGCTCTTTATTGAATCCTTCGAGAAGTCCAGTGTACCGCTGCCTCCAGTTCCTGAGCCGTCTGCCAGGCGCAGACCCCGTGACGGGGCCGAGCTGGCCAGGATGGAGGAGAAGAGATCTCGCGCTTCATCGAGCGTGGTTGACAGA